CGGATTATTATTTTTAATTTTTATCTTAAATTTTAAATATATGAGCACTTTTTACTGTAGAGGATGACTAAGACACCCTTCCCAAAAGATATCGTGACTTAAACTAAAGTGATTAATAAAAAACCTCGGTATCAAAGATATTACGAAACTCATAACACAACCTTTACTTTGGATTGAGCTGTGTGAGATTATAACTATAACAATTTCCGAAAATGATCCTGCTTTTGGGTTATAATATAGTGGAAATTTGAGTTAAGACCATTGATCTCTGTTGCCCTTTCACTTTTTGGACATATAGTCTATAGTTTCCATTTGTTACTATTTTATGTTATTTTTGGTTTTCTATTTATATTAAGCATGAACCATTGTTATCTAAGCATTTGTTAACTATATAACGTTCAGTTGCTTTTAGTCTTTAGGGTTGCTTTGTGTATTTTTTCAAATTTAAGTTAATTTTGTTAAAAAATCGTATTCTTGTGCAGTTTTTGTGGCAAAGAAAATTACTACATTTAAATTTTACCTATTTGCTTATCTTTTTTTATATTTCACCCATTTTATAGGTTTATATTTGGGATTCTACTCTACCAATTGCAATTCCTATTGAATCGTTTAGTTTACCAACACCCATTTCTCGAACTGCTGGCAGGCAAAAACTTAAGATACCCGAAGAAGGTATGCAGTCTACTTAGTTGCTTGCTTTTAAACTTCTAATAGCATGACTCACTTTTTACTCATTCTTTCTACATGCTAGTTATTCAGCCACTCCAGACGCATATGTATCTGTGTGCTTATTTGAAATCTCATTTCTGAAAAAAATTTATCTTAACGGACCTTTAAATTCACCTTTTAAAAATAATCTTTTATCTTCTGTGCAGGTATTCCCTACCTTATTCAGTTAGTTCATCGAAGTAATCTGGGCCGCGGCAAGTTGGCCTTTGAGTTCCGCGTTTTCTGGCAGCGTTTTACCTCTGGTACCTTGCTCAGTCAACCAGAATCTGGGAAACCACTGTTGCGCTATTCCCAATATAAGCGTCGGCTTGATAGAACAGCTGGAGTCTGCGGCCGAACTTCTTTAGGCGATCCTTCCACTCCAATAACAATGGTTGGCAGTGGTGGCGGCGCCCGAAAGGAGACGACTGAGAATGCGACACCCCCTACCAGCCTAGCCAACATAGTAGAATTCGAAACACTGCCATTAAATCAAACGCGCGTACTAGCTAAAATAGGCGAGCTTTTCTCCTTTGAAGAGAACCGGTAAGTAAGATTCTAACACTTACATATTTTTCGATAGTACATTGAACCTCCACAGTTATTCTTTCTGATATGCTTTAAGTGAACTTTTTATCTCTACTATTCCTTACATCTTACAAAAATGTCAACTCCAGACTATGGAAAGCAAATAAGCTTCCATATTTCTTTTAAACATGCCTCCATAAAAACATTCATTACTCCCATGTTGCCTCATG